ATCTTCATGAGTGACGTAACTGGCATTTCCATTTATTTGCTTCTATTCCCACTATCCTAAAACGCTCAAATGAATGTTGTCAAATTCGTGAGTGTGCGTATTTTCGTACAGTGGCGTAAACATTGCTACAATCAAAGACGCGCTGAACAGAAAGTCAATTCTGGGCTAGTACCATTGTCAAATTCTGGGGGGTACAGGACTATTTATATGGGAGACGTTACAATAAGGAACTATTAAAATTGTTCGATTTGCATATCAAAATCCTTTATTGGAACAGAGCATGTTCTATATTCAACAAAAAACAAAGTTGTTATATTTCTAGATACACAACAGACTCGAAACAATAGAAACCGTCCGATCCGAGCGACCTGCGTTCTTGAAAATTGAGTCTTATCGCCCTTGCGTTTCCGAGCAAAAAAACGATGAGGCCAAAAACGACCGATTTTCGCCCAATCTTCTATGAATTTTTCATAATTTAGCTAATTCAGTCCAGCGGTTAGATAGGGTATTTATTAGAGACGCCCGGAGAACCAAAATTTGGGACGTGATTCACTCCGACAACTAAAAATCAGCGAAAATGGCCAAGGGGGTGAGGGACTGCATTTCAAAAACATATTTTATATATAGGGTATATAATTATTATTTATTTTAATTATTTTTTAACTTGTAACGTCAAAAATAATTAAAATAAATAATAATTATAGTAAATAATTAAAATAATTATAGTAATTATATAAAAAAAAATTTAAAAAAAATTAAGCCAACCAGGATCTTATTTTAATCAGATTGGATATTATGTGTGATGTATGTGTGAAGTTTGATTATAAATGGTCCAGGCACTCTAGACTTTCTGATAGATCAAAAGTGTAGTGACCCCACCAAGTGACCATACACTATGCTATTTGTTTACTTTTCAATCAAACAAAAAATTACATAAATACTTGGAAATATGCATGAAGCTACTATTTTTAACTGCATGCTATTTTTAACAACAGAATAACAACCAAAACAGCCTGAAAATTTTACACACACATTTTACACCTACTTTGAAATAAGATTAAACTAAATGAAATTGACTGTGGCACTTAAATTCAGTTTAGAATACCATATCTGAGTCACGACCACTGTTTTGAATGATTGCTCTTGTTGCCCCTTTATGTTCCGTTACGCCAGCATAATAACATCAGGGTTGTTCTTGTTCATGTGAAGGAACACTTAAAAACAGATGTGAACAAGATAATTGACTATTAACATAGATTATATTTCTCAGCTACATTTGCTATGGCAACAACAAACAATCAGTAATATGTCAATATTTATCTCTGTCAATATAATTATTGTCAACAACAAAAAACTCACCAAAATGATCTAGTAAAACAAATGGGTCCACCTGAGGTAGTTTACCTCCAATTGGTCGTCGTACCAAGAATCCGCCGCCTTCATACTGCTGGGGAGCAGTGATGATGTCTACAACCTTGCGTTCCATGGTCTTGACAGAACTCAGCATACGGGTGAAGACAACTAATTGTTTCATTAACGAGTGTCTCTTCAATATTGTAAGCATGCCAAATCCTATTAAGACAAATCAAAGAATAAATGAACAGATTAAATGTGGGGTTATTTTGAAAGGGTAGTGGTAGCTCTGATATTAATACTATAATTTAGTTTTTGTAAAATTTTGCACATTTTCACTAATTACTTTGTTAATGAACCAAATAAACATAATTTGCATATTCTCTAAAAGATGAAATAATTGATAAGGATATACTGTAAAATAGTTTATTTTCGCTTGAAATTAATTTTTGCTGAAGGAAAGATTCAGTGAAAATAAAATCCAGCGAATATACCTTTTCCTATATTTTACATTCAACTTGTCAAAAATCAGTGAAATCTATACAAAACACCTAAAGTCTTTTCAGCGAAAAATGAATTCCAGCTAAAATAAAGTATTTTACAGTATATGCTTTTTGGGGATTGTCAAAAACTTATTTTAAGTATCTAGTGCTCCTTTTGAATTGCTAAATTGAAGTGAAAATAATTTGATTGACAGCTATTATAAGTATAAGTACATTCGTGGCATTGCTAGAAGATCACATATTCAGGTTTGAGTGTAACTGAATTGGGACAACTGACTTTTTTGTGTGCAAAATTTATTTATAAACAACATTATGAAACAAGCAGCCTGTCGACTGAGATTGCTCTGCTGTTAGCAATGCACATTTCAATTAAAGAACAGAAGATATCATTAGATAATGAACAATATGTAGACTTGCTGTTTTCAACAAGAATTCAAAAATATCACTTTTCACCAAAAATGCAAAAATAATCATCAAAATTAGATAATTGAAGATATCACCACGAAAGTAACAAATCTGAAAGAGGTCCACATGTAGTACCTATTTAAGTAATATAAAAGTAATCGGACTTGAGGTTTTTAATAAGAAGTCGAAAATATCACTTTTTACTAATAATTACAAAAATATTCACTAAAATTAGAAAATTAAAGATATCATTACAAAATGAACAAATCTGAGAGACATCTACCCAAGGTACATATACACCAAGTATCAAAGCATTCAGGCTTATAGTTTTCAAGAAGAAGTCAAAAAAGTAAAACATTGACACGGACGACGACGGACCACAGACGACGGACAATCACTCATATGATAAGCTCCGCTCGACAAAGTCGACAACGGAGCTAATAAAATCAAGTGAAAAATGTACATAAATTAAACGATCAATAATAATGTTCTGGATAAGGAAACGCCCACGCCAACTCAGAACGAGGCTCCAGCTAGAGAACCTAATTAGCATACAAGGGTGATTTGTGACGTCACTGGGTGAATTTGTCATTGTTTCACAATGGCCGCTATAGCATGCAATGCTTGGAAAGCGTCACGAAATCTATCTTATCATCGTCTGACGAGAGTTGTGAGATCGAGGAATATGATGACAACGAGAAATTACACGATTTTGTTTTAGAGTGCCAGGGACAAATTGGCCCATACAGGTTTGAATCTGCTAGAAAAGTATGCGATGTGGATGACCCAAAATGACCGTGATGATTCAGGCACAGGCACAGAGTTTGAACATCATGACCGAAAATCTTAATGTTGTTATTTTTATTGAACTCAACCTGAACAATGTATCGGTAATGTCAGAAAATCTGCACTCTAAAATGTAAATTTGTGTGCGTCCGATAGATCGTGTGTTCTATTTCCGGTAGGACGAATACCTACAACTGCAAGATCGAAACAAATGAAACTGTACAGATAAATGATTCGGGCGTAAAATGGGCAGAAAACGTTATAAGGAGAAGGTCCATCCCAATATTTCCTTGTGTTCTTGACGGCTTTGGTCCACTGAAGTCGTAAATTTGAATCTTTTGGGAACGCATAAAGACTTACACGATCGCTGTGTGTGTTGCTACACCTGTCAACAACACATCGTTTCCTCTAGCCTGCGTTAGGGTCCGGCTGTATACTGACAATGTGTATATAATTGACAGACGAAGCCTTCCCGAACCCAAAACACAGCGAAACCACGGCTACGTTTCCCCATGATAACGATCGTGGTAGTTCATTGTATATGCTGGTTTACTAAAGCATGCGTATGGAAAATGGTAAACAATCCTGTCTGGTAGCTATCTCCTGCTTTATGGTCCCGTTGGTGGCGCCATTTCGACAACACTCGTAATGCCGAAAAAACTTGAAGGTGCCGGGAGAGGGGGGGGGCATGGCCCGATTTTGAAATATCATTGAATGTTTACCCAATTTATATATCTTTTTCACTTGATTTTTTTTCATAATGTTGTTTATAAATAAATTTTGCACAAAAAAAAAGTCAATTGGCCCAATTCAGTTGCACTTTAAGATGAAATTTGTTTTCCATTAAGGATGAATTTCAGGAAATTTAAAGGCCCAGGTAACGCTTCTAAACAATAGGGATTATTTCCTTGCAAGTCAAGCTCTGGTAAACAGGCGTTACAGGTTGATTATATAGTGCTAAAGTAAATGTATGTGACTATGAATATCACAGCAGTAACTATGTGTAGTATTTATGACAATAAATATTGTACATGTTGAGATTTTGGCGGATAAAAGTAAAAAAAATGGAAATAGGGACATGCTACTAAGCTTGAATAATTAACTGCTGTCAATCAATGTCACTTGACCTTAAGCTGCTGAAACAGGGTGCTGTATCATGTAATCCCCACAAACATTTACACACTTCCTAATGAGTTTCTCATAATCACATAGCCGATTCAACGAAGACGCCAAAAATCGTGTTTGCAAATTTAAAAAGTCACCACAGAGAGTACGAGCCAGAAATACCTCTCGTCGTTTTTAATAAAAATGAATACTGTGTTTAGTATTCATACTGTTATGTTCCAAGCGTGTTTATGTGGGGATATTATTAAAGAGCATATTCCAGAATTAATGCTTTCTATGACGGTAAATGGAACAGGAATTAGACTAGGGTTGCCAATGACAGACCAATTAATTGTAACCAGTACATGCGAATTGATTTACTGGCTTCTTCATGGCATTTTATAGTTGAAAATGACAAATTGATGCCATTATTGTGCTCCCACAAGATATAGGCTAAATCGTGACTATTTTTGTTTTCTCTAAAATTACATTTTTAACGTGACTAGCCTTCGTAAAATTTCATTGTCTAACCGCCTCGTGCACATAAGGAAATGTACACTAGTCAGAAGAATATAGCAGTTTTATTTTGCACTAGAAGTGGCTGCGGTTGGCCATCTGGTTTTTGCACGCAGTGATGCATCGATCATCTCAAATTTATTATTTTTACTATTTCCATGTATCAGTAGCAGCAGAGTGAAAGTGTGAATGTCGTGCAGTGAATATAATTTTTATTGTTGACCGTAGCGAGCATGACAGCATTCTAAGCAATACGTGCATCGTGGTCATCGCCGTGGCGTCGTAGTTCATTGATACAAGGGCGGCAAATTATGATATGGCAAATCTGCATTTCAGACGAACGCTATTGTTGAAATGAACGTAATTCAAAAAAATGATCAATACCACATCACTTTGTAACACGTTCCATATTAGCTCCGTTATTAATTTTGTCTTTACAGAATGCCTATATGTAGCTCAGGTCTGCACAGTACGTGCTCTATGGAAGCAAGTCTGACTATAGTGCTATCAGCTTGTAAATAAACTATGTGGGTTTCTGTAAATATAGCTAGACTATGCTAATGATTAACAGCACTCATTAGCATAACCACACCTCTAATAAACACTTGCCCAGGGCAAATGAAAAGGGCATTTAAGTAATATTTTTAAATATGATTTGTGTATAAAGGACAGACACTTCCAAATATGGATTGAGATGAACATTAATCAGTTCTTTCACAGACTCACTAATTTGCATTATGATTTCTAGAAATGTAGGTTTCCCCTGAGATTTCACAATCACATGAGATTCTTGCATATTCTTATCTTTTAAAACCACAATTATACACGGTACACCAGGTTTCATGAAGGCATGAATTTGTTTCATATAAAAATATTTATAAATGTTATTAAATTACAAATGGCAATTTGAAAACAACTTGACCAATCACAAGACTAAATAACAGATGAATACCAACCATGTACAATGTAACTCAACTGCAATCAGTTAACTTTTAACTTATATAATGTATTCTTTTAAATTTATTCACTGTTGTTTAATTCAAACATTTTAAACAAATTTGATGGAATCTATCTTTTGCGTTATGGCAGTAAATCGGCCAATGATTGAAGAAACCCTGCAAATACTCACTCAAAAACAATATAACCAATCAAAACATCTTCTTTGAATTTCTATGAAGCCGCAAGGTTCTTTTAGGATAAAAAGTTTTAAAAACAAATTCACACTTTTATGAAATTCGGTGTACTTTGACTTTACCTTTATCAGAACTTTAAAACAGCAAATATCAGTGAAATTACCAAATAATGTCACATGTGAATTACAAACCACAGATGCATCACGAGTGAGTGACTGACACAAATTTGCTATAGTACTCTCCTCCACCACGGTTACTAGTTTTAGTAACCGTGCCTCCACCTTGTATAACTTGCTGAGTCATTTTTGATGTTTTTGAAGGCACACAGTAAGCGGGGGGGGCAAATACCGGTTTCCACATAGTTCCAGTGACTCTTTTCAATGATAAGATTTTTGTAGAAAATTGAAAATAACTATCCATTAAAACGTATAAATCGTACTTTGTTGAATATAACCCCGCGATTATAACGTCCAACTATAAATTATCATTATTCATCTGTTTAACACTGTTACGTTTCGACACCCCTATTTTGAATGGTACACTCCATGCGACGTCATAGATCACGTGAACCTGAGTAAATGCTTCCGTGTTGACATGACATCGGCTAAGATCGTCTTTTAAAAGTCTGTATATTGTTTGAATTTCAACACAGTTTACCGAGTCTTTGGAGACCAAACAAGTTCAAAATGTCTAACAACGAAAAGCAAGGTAAGATGAATGAAATGCACATAAATGAAGAACGACATTTATTAACGCTGTCCAGATTGCTTATTTTGGCTAGCTAAGTTGTGTGTTTTTTTTCTCAAAGGAAATTGTGCATACACTATGTTGACAATTCCTTTATTGTAGTAACATTAAGACCGAATTTATTTGATAGATTATTGTTATATATAAAAGTACATGCGCCGTTGTCGATCTAGCTAAACCTATGGTGATTTTCAAATCGCATGATCCGTCGTTTGGCGAACTCGGGTCCCTTAGTTGTTTATACAAAGACGCCATTGTACTTTGAGCGTGATTTTTCGCGTGACCTTTGATTGAAATACTAGTCTGTTGGAATATTTCCATTATTTTTAGCCACCAGCATCGCGACCATATATGCCCTACTGCCCAGTGGATGGGCGAAACATAGTAATAAAACATACTATTTTGAAAATTCGCATAGCGACTTGCGCAATAGCGTACATCCGCGCTTAAAACCCTACCCTACAGACACTTTGTCTGCCGGTTTGTTTTTAGGTCAATTTTTCTGTCGGGTACCCAACAAATTACTAGGGAATGATTATTTGCATCACAGCGATGTTTATTATAACAGAAATAGACCCAAGGTGTGAGCACTACAGGTGCATATAACGGTAATATATATATAAAAA